CTGGAGAGCCCAGGGGAGACTCCGGCGGCTGAGATGCCCGCGGTCAGGGGGTGGTGGCTCCCGGGCCGCCGCTGCCGAGCGAGGGAAGGCTCCCCCGAGCTCCCGTCGGAGCTTTTCCTGCCGCGGAAAAAAAAGAAACTTCCCCGGGATCCCGCTGGGAAGCTGGAAGCGGCCGCCGCACAACGCCCGCAGAGACGCGGGCGCGCAGCCTGCGCTGCCCGGGGCGCCCCCGGGAACCGGGGCTGCGCTCCGCCTTCGGCCCGGCGAGCCGCGGGGAGCCCCCGCCCGCCCGGCGGGACCGGGGACAGCCTGCCCCCCCCGGCGGGACCGGGGCAAGGCCCGTCCTCGCTGCTCGGCCCCGGCTCAGCAGAAAACGTGCTCCCCCCAGCCCCCCCTCCGACCCCTCCTGCTTTTCCCGCTCGCTGCCTAGCAGAAAAAAAAAATAATACAGTAACATAGCTTTCCTCATTTAATGCCCTTACGGTCTGCGAAAAAGAGTCACTTTACGGTCTGCGAAAAATAATCACTTGGCCGCCACTTACTCAAATGTGAAAAGAAAATATTAACATCATATCGTAAGCGCGATAGTCATAAGCGAAGCCCAGCTATTCCCAAATCTCTGTTTGAGACCGTTGACGGACGCAGCTTGTCGTTCTGTTAATTCAGGTTAATGCGCCGGTGAATCTACCTTTTAATTAAAAGCGGCCGCTGTTTTCACGTGCGCTGAAGCCGTCAGCCCGGAGCCTCACCACAGACAACAGCCAGGAGATGAAACGAAGCGACGGAGTCAGACGCCCGCCGTGCCCTGCCCGCACCGGGGGAGCCACCGCCTTCCCCCTTCCCAACGCTAATCCCTACCCCCAGATTAAATAAAACATTTCAGACGAACCGTTTGTTTAAATACCTAACTCATTTTAGTGTAAGAACACCAGCTTGCTTCCCGTTTACTCAGCAATGGCCGCATCCTGCGCTTGCAAACGCTCCATCGCTCATCCCGGGGGTTTATTTCACCTGGGAGGGAGAAAGCCACCCCCAGGCACCCCCCGAGCCGGGCCGGGGCCGGGGGGTGCCCGCCGGCCCTCCGCTCACCTCCTCACCCCGGTGCCTCTCCGCAGCCAGCCCGGACCCCCTGGAACGGGACGAAAACGGGCAAACGAGGAAAACCGGGAACGCTCCGTGTCAGGAACGGGCTGACTTCAGCGCGGGCTCACCTCGGCGACAGGCCCGGGACTATTTTTAATTAAAGCCCGTAAACACAGCCAGCCCAGCTCCCTCCCCGCTGCCTCCGTGCCCCGGCGAGGGGTGGAAGCGTTACCGAAAACCGGCTTCGGCGGGGAGCAGCGCCGCGGTGGAGAGGGACCGGCACCCCCGGGGAGCGATCCCGGCGGGGCGGGAAGCACCGACATCCCCCGCGGCCGCTAATTACCACCTTTAATTGGGAGGCCCGCCTAATTAGCGCCCCCGGCCCTGCCCAGGGCTGCCGCGCCGCGCCCCTCCCAGCCGCGCAACCACCGCGCCCGCGCAACCCCGGCCCCGCTCCCCTCCCCTCGCTCGCTGCCTCTCGCCCTTTCCCGCGGTGCTTCTGGTTTTTAGCAGGACGGCGGTAATTGCACGTCTCGGTAGATGCTCTATAATTTGATATCTCGACGGAAAAAAGCAAAAATACAGCAGGGACACGGGGAAAACAAGGGAAAAACAAAAAAAAACAAACCCAAAAAGTAAGGAAAAAAAGCAAAGCGCCACGATTTCGTGCTACGTCGCAGCAGCTCACAGAGAGCGCTCGGGCCGCCGTGTGCTGCCAGCCTGCTACGCTCTGCCCCAACCGCCTTTCAAAAAAAAGCATCATTTAGGATGCGCCGTGCGGAAACCAATTAACTTATGTGGCAGCCATTAACGTATCTTTAAAACGCGAAAGCATCCGAATTTGCCCCAGCAAAGACTGCGGGTCTCGCCTCTCCCAGCCACGGGCAGGCCGAGCCCTGAGGGAAACCCACGGGAGAATCCGCCCCGGGACCGGCCGGGACAGCCCCGCGCCTCGTTCTGTCTCTGCACAACTTGGGTTTGAATCTCTAACCTGCCACCGCGGGGGGGGGGGGGGGAATTAATTCACAAGCATTACACTACTCAGAGCAGTAGTTCATAAAATACTTTATTGAAATAAAGTAAATATCTTCGCATTAATAAAACTGATCATAAAATGCAGTTTTCGAATAACTAGGGGCACCACAGGGTTTTAGACAGCGAGTAGATGTGACAGACGGGATCCAGTGTCCTCCTGGCCCCTCCGGGCCGGCGCACAACACAGGCGTCCGTGGCGCAGCGCTCCGCGGGCGCGGAGGGGAGCGGCGGGGGGTGGGGGGAAAGACGGGGCCGCGCCCGACC